CAATCGCAGGAAAAAGATATATCCATAGTAGAAACGTGATCAGCACTCAGAGTCTTTTAAAGTTAAAAGTTCAGTCTTTATTGAAGATTCATTAAAAATAGGATCAACGTTTCAGTTCCCGTCTGGGACTTTCATCAGGATCAGTCATGACTTAAAATTGCTAACTGAATCAGTGCTTTGCAGATTTGTTCTGTTACTCCAAATCATGTCAGTGATGGACAAGAGATATCTTTCCCAAATGAGTGGGACAGTTTTGCATCTCCATAAACAGATATACTTTTTTCCAAGGAAATTCTACAGAAAATAAGTAGTCAGTAAATTGACAAATTGACAACAAAGTGACTCGTGGAATAGGGAAAAGTTTGGACATGAATGTTCCTATTGCAAAAATTAAGAGAGACGTTGACAAGGTTATGCAATAAAGCCCGAAATGGCCCCATATAGAATGGAGCAAAATCATATGGCTACATGCAGGGCTGACCCAGCGCTGAGGGAGATAAGCGCTGGAATATATAAGTACATAATATAATAATAAGTACAGGTAAGTACATAATATAATAATTATATATACTATATATGTAAATAATAAATACATTTAAAAAAATTATATATGTGAGTAATTCCATTCTGACTATATTTTAGTATTAATGTATATATATATATATATATATATATATATATATATATATACATATATATAGATATAGATATCAAAATACACAGAAAAGACTTATATATTTAAAATCTATGTGTACATGTATGTAATATTTTTACATAATTAGATAATTATTGCAAACTTAATTGGGCTAACTCTATTTTGACCCTGTAACTTTCCAAAACCTCATACAACCTGGATATGCGGGGTACTGTTGTACTTGTGAGACTTCAGTGAACACAAATATGAGTGTTTTAAAACAAATAACTGTATGATTATGATGATATCATCAGTGAAATTGCAGTTTTTGTGTGAAAAATGCAAAACCAATTATTGTGGCGGAACCAACCTCGCCACTGGGCATTGGAGAAGCCTGTTTGCTTGCCTCCTGCCTGCTAACTATGGCCCCTGGGAGATTTGGCCCTTTAAATACAGTATTTGGGCATATTGTATTTTATTACGCTGCTGGCCCTTTAAGAACCATCTGGGGACATACTGTGACTTTTGGGAACAATGCCCCTTTAAGACTGTGTCCCCTGTCCCCCTAATATACTTTGTTTGTGCCCTTTTCCCACTTGAGTCAGTAAATGGGGCTTACTGAACCAAGTACCACACAGGCGGACCACCCAGAAGTGGAAGTGTGCAGGGAATTTACCTGCCGTTCGCACAAACCACCACGTGGCGGCGCCATCTTTTTTCATTCAAATGTAGTCAGCGGTGTGTGGAGCCAAATTCATGGAACTGAAATCGGCTAAACGGTTCCACGAACACCGCTGACCCTTACCTTCTCCTACACTCCGTTTTCAGCTACAGAGACTAAGTCCCATTTGGCAGTTTGAACTCACTGTTATACTGAGCCAAATGCACGAACGGCCTCGTTCGTGCATCCGAATGGGACTTAGTCATTTTTCAGTGTGAAATTGACCGACCGCACAGCCCAAATCTATGCAACTGTTTTGGGCAGGAAAATGTGCTTGCGGTCGGTCATAAAAGACTTCCACCTAACTTTTTAAGTACTGGACGGATTTGGATAAATTTTGGTTATGTTTATATTTAAAGTATGCTTGGTCTGAAAATGTATGAAGATTGGATGTATATTTTTAAAGTTACAGTGCATGTATAAAAAGTATATTTTTCCTGCCATTACATTACCCATTGTGTGCAGTAATTATATCACAGGCAGAGGGAAGGATTTTGTGGGAGTGAATGGGTGTGGGTTTACTGTATGTTACGTGCGTTATTGGTTATTTTATAAAACCCTGTGGGCTGTAGTGTATCTGTAAAATTTGCATAAAAGAAGGCCCTTTGGTGCCAAGTAAATCAGTTCTACTTCACCCTCAATTTGGAGTGCCGTCCCTTATTGGGGGAATCTGCTACAAGGGATTGCCATGCTTGTCATACTCCCTTGCTAAATCACTACTAAGCTCTTGTAAGAGCTTGTTCCTGCCTTGCTCTCTGGAGGAGTCTACGGTTGTTATGGTGTCTGCTGCAGTGATTGGAGTCCTCAGGAAGCGCTAGGAGCATCCTTCAATGGAGGTACCCAGTCAGGGTGCCAGACGATCCGTTACAATTATAAACGCTAAATTAATATGCAGTAAATGACTGCCATGGCCAGATATACCACAAGGCCACTGGAAGGCAGAATAATGGTAGCATGGCTCATTGGGAGATCAAAGACCTCCCTCACCAGTCATCCCTTTCTCCTGCTGTGTGCCTGAGGCAGACAGGGGACAATTCCCTAGATGGCACCTATAGGGTTGGTGCTGAATTGAAATTATATCAAAGAATTGGAGCGGGTTACCACGGCAATGCTATGATACATTTCTGCACTCACTTGGGGTGCAGACATGCTGGATCTTCCACCAAGGAACTGTCTTCCTCCTCCCTGACTCAAGGTAAGCATCAGGGAGGGGGGAAATAAACTTTTATACAGCTTCGGCCAACCAACCACAGCCCCTGTCACCCTACTACAGCCCCTGTCCATGCCACCCACTACAACTGCTGTCACCCTACTACTGCCCCTAATACTGGTTTCCTGAACTCAATACCATAGCCCCAGCATTACTCAATGAACAGTTGACTTTTAGTTCATTTCTTTAACTACAGTCTAACGGAGTTTAGAACTCAGAATAGAATCCCTGATACGACTAAATTGATAGTAACGTGTAGGTTATTTAGCGATTTACTTTTTCTTTTGTTAAATATAACATATAGTTAGTTCTTTTTTGATAATTAATAGTTATAAATTCATTCTAAACTCTAAATTCATCTATACCAGCCATTACATATTTCTGGAAGGTTTGTCTCCCACCAATTAACGTTGAACATTAAATGGTCCCATGGCAACCTATATACTCTGGACTCCATGAAAGAGAGGAGCAAAGGTTGCACAGGCGCACTTAGCATACGGGACGAGTCAGCATGTCTGCACACCTGGGGTAAGTTCATTGATTTAAGCTTTAACTATATATTTAGCAGAAATGTTGTACAATATTATTATGTCCTTAGGAACGAAACGTCGACACTTTGTATCACTACAAGTACTTTATGGAGTGCACTTTATATAAAATGAGCAAATAAATGCTATATTTTAAAGAAAGACCGTGAGTGCAGACTATATTTATATATACATATACTTAGGGTATGGGCCAAAAGTACAATACAGTACATGCCCTACAATGACCAGGTACAGCAGCTTTCTCTAGATGATTATGTAGCACAATATTTACTATCTTTAAAGATATGCTTAATATCTTTTTTCACCAACCATTAGTATTACTGCTACTTATCCACGAAAACAGCATACAGACAAGAATTGAAAATATGAATTGCAATACTTGTCTCCACACGTTGATCTCTGCTTCTTGAAAACAAGATAGAAGATGAAGTCAGAACATTTTTAAAGAAGTCCAGGCAGCCAACCTACACGGTATTAACGGATCAACAAAATTTAGGATTAAACAGGGGGAAAAAAATTAATAAGAAAAAAATATGAAAACAAGAGCCTGTATTCCCTATATAATAAATAACAACATTGCACCAGTTGTAGGTTTGCACATTCATACAACAGTACTGCAAATATTTCTTCTCAATTTGATGATGTTATCATTATTAATAATATAGCAACTGAAAATATTGCCAATATAAAACTAAATAATCAATAATAAATGTGGAAGTTAACAGAGAAGACACAAAAACAAAAAATAGTGATTTACAGCTGGAAAAAAATTAATTCAACATAGGAATTCCTTTTTCGAAGAGAGAGAGATGTTTCCTCTGCGTGATATGCGCGTGTGAAGGAAATATTACAAAGAATAATACAGAAGAAAGTTGTCAAATTCAATATTATGATACATAAACACATTTCCAGTAACAAAATGCACATTAATACACATTATATGAAAATATTTCCTTGTTTATAGAGAAATACCATCAATATGAGCAATAGATTGTTTATGTTCAAAAGAGAGTCCAATATTTAAACCTTAAGGACAGAGCTTCAGAAGCTTGTCTTTCACTTAATGACAACAGCATTTTTTGCATTTTTTTCTGTTTACGTTCAACTGCAATTTGCATTTTACTAATTTATTGCACCGACACATATTATATACCGTTTTTCAAAGGACAGAAAGGGCTTTAATTTGATGTAACACACACACACACACACACATATATATATATATATATATATATATATATATATATATATATATATATATATATATATGCTTATTCATTATAAAAAAAAAATACAAAAAAAGGCAAAATAAATTAAGAATTTTGTGGGGGTTTTTTACAGTTTTTGCAATAATAATGTGTGCACAATTAGTGCAGGTTAAGGAAAGTAATTAAAAATAAATTAATTTAGTTGTTCTGATTTACAGAATATATAATGTGTCTGGGATTTTAAAGTTTTTTTTGGTAGTTACAGGTCACAAAGCACAAGGAGTAAAATAAACTTTTAATGTGGAGCCATTTTAGAATTTGGTATGTTTGTCTTGTAAGCTTAATAGCCATAAAAGAAAACAAAATTGCCACACAAAAGCATATATTTATATAAAGTAGACATCACGGGCTATTTACCTAAGGTTGTTTTGACACTTTCTACGTAGCCATTTCACCACCAACCTCTGCTAAATATTGGAGTAAAATTGTGTTTTTTTTGGTTTTTGGCACACAAACTTATAACAAAGAAATTCTCATGTATATTTTGTAAAGTTGGTGTGTGCTATTCCTGTACAAAGTTTTATTTTGTGTTCAGTTACATCTGCTGAGTAAAATGACACCCCCATTGTATGTCTTTGGCACTATTTCGTAAAGCTACAGTGCCATATAGGAGACCTGTCCTTTTCAGTACTCACAGTAGAATTTTGAGAGACGGATTTAATGAGCCTATGCTTCTGTTTGGGGTATTATAACAGTTTGACTGTTCAAAAAAAAAAACACAAAGGCCTACCATTTGTAAAAGTAGACACTCCAGGGTATCTCATAAGGTGCATATTGTGCCTTAACATGCCCCCATTTTTTCACCAATATATGCCAAAGTATGTGGTAAAAAATTATTTGGGGCATTTTTTACATACAGATTGCATTTTTGCTGGACATTTTGCATATTGTATATGTGTCACTAAGTTCAAATCCCCAAATTATGCTCAGCTAAGTCTTCTGAGTAAAATGACACCCCCAATGAATGTCTTTGGCGCTATTTCGTGAAGCTACAGTGCCATATAGGAGACCAAGCCATTTCAATTTTTGCCGAACTTTGAATTTTGACGCTGTGCCTATGTGCAAATTCCAAGCATCTTCGCAAGTTTTAAGTTCAAACTACCCCACAAAGGCCTACCATTTCTTAGAGTAGACACCCCAGAGTATTTCAAAAGGTATATTTTGAACCTTAGCGTGGGATCATTTTTCCGCTAGCTTGTACCAGGTGTAGTGGTAATAAGTGTTTTTTCTGCCTGTTTGACACACAAAGTGAGTTTGCACAGTATATTTTGCAAACCTTATGTGTGCTACGACTGTATAATACTTCATATGTTGCTCAACTATGTACAGCAATACCCCCATATGTACCTTTGCCAGGTATATGTGGATGTTGAAGGGGCACATTTGAGACACAGCCATTCAGTTTTTTTCTAACTTTGAAGTTTTACGCTGTGCCCATGTTCCAATTTGGAGTAGTTTAGATGGTTGGTTATTGAAACTTCCCCACAAACACATACTATTTATTAAAGAATACACCCTGGGGTAATTCAAAAGGCATATTTTGAACCTTGGCGTGGGATAATTTTTTCTCTAGTTTGTTCCAGGTGTAGTGGTAATGAGCGTTTTAAAATGTATTTTTTTTTACTTTTTTAAACTTTTTTTACTTTTTAAAACTAGTTTTTAAACTTTTGTTTTGTTCATTAATTTTTTTAAACTTTCCTAAACTTTCTTACAACTTTTTTTACAGATTTAACATTTTTCTAAGCTTTTTTTTTACCTTTAACCCCTAACTAGCAGTAAGCAGCACTAACAGTAAATTCCTCATTTTCCCATAACTCTCACCCACCCCAGCTAGCAAAATATATAATTATAAAATAGTTACATTAGTTAATTAAATAAATTAAACCCCTGAGGGTTAAAAAATAAATAAAAGTTAATAGCCAGGGGTTAAAAAAAATTAGATCACAGTATAATACTGTGATCTGTATTTTGATCACTGTAGGCAGTGATCAACTGGCAGGGAAGGGGTTAATTTTTATTTGGACTGCGTAAAGGGGGGTGTTTTTTAAATTTTGTACTTTTTAACTTAATTTTTAACTTTTAAAAGCTTATTTTAAAACTTTTTTTTAATGTTAATCCCTAGTTAGCCTAACACCAAATCCCCCAATTCCCCACTAACTTCCACCCACCCCAGCTAGCTAAATATATAATTTTAAAATACTTAATATTAATTAATAAAATAAATCTGGGGTTAATTTTACTCGTCACTTGTCATTAAGGGGTTAAAGGAACACTTTAACATTAGGAATACAAACTTGAATTTCAACTACTATAGTGCCCCTGTCCCTAACTAGAGTAGTGGGCCCAGCATGTGTAATAAAAATGAACAAAATAATTTTCATAACCCTCGACAATGCAATTAAAAAAATAAACAATTATAATAAAAAGCCTTTGGGGTAAAAAAAAACTTAATATTATAATAATTTTCAAGGGGATTGCTGCTCACTGAGTTTAGTGGGGTCTCTAGTAGAGTGAGAAAAGATAAGACAGCTTGAGAACAGGCACATTACTGGGTAAGAGTTTCATGTGTTAGCAGGGGGAGTAAGAAGATAGGTATAGCTAGTCTTGACTTTGTGCACTCTAAAAGATTTGCCCATTTGAGTGAAGATATCGGGAGCATCAGCTCAGGAATAGTTGTACTGGAGGAAACAGCTAACAGCTATGGAAAAGCCTGACTAGAACTCTAGTACGGCTGAGGCTGAGAATGTAAGAAAGGCTAGACATGTTGTAGTGGTCTTGGACTCTATCATTAAAGGGACACTATAGTCACCTGAACAACTTTAGTTTAATGAAGCAGCTTCACTGCTCAATCCTCTGCCATTTAGGAGTTAAATCCCTTTGTTTATGAACCCTAGTCACACCTCCCTGCATGTGACTTGCACAGCCTTCCATAAACACTTCCTGTAAAGAGAGCCCTATTTAGGCTTTCTTTATTGCAAGTTCTGTTTAATTAAGATTTTCTTATCCCCTGCTATGTTAATAGCTTGCTAGACCCTGCAAGACCCTCCTGTATGTGATTAAAGTTCAATTTAGAGATTGAGATACAATTATTTAAGGTAAATTACATCTGTTTCAAAGTGAAACAAGTTTGTTTTTTTCACGCAGGCTCTGTCAATCATAGCCAGGGGAGGTGTGGCTAGGGCTGCATAAACAGAAACAAAGTGATTTAACTTCTAAATGACAGTGAATTGAGCAGTGAAATTGCAGGGGAATGATCTATAAACTAAAACTGCTTTATTTAGCTAAAGTAATTTAGGTGACTATAGTGTTCCTATAAGAGAGTAGATAGGGTAATCTGTCGCTCTGATGATCTCACCAGGCACTTTACTGTCTTCCTTGTGCTTGGGTATGGCATGTTGCTGATATAGTGGAAGGAGTATTGGGAGGGGCTCCTGATGACCTGTCTGTCATGGTACATATTGTTACAAATATAGATCCTAAATAATTATTTCAGGGAATTACCAAGTAAACAGAAGAAAAGGACCTCCATGGTAGTATTTTCATAGATATTACCTGTGCCGTGTGGTACAGTAGAAAGACAGTGGGAATTTAGGGAGATTAATCCATGGCTAAAGTCATGGTGTAGCAAGGAGTGTTTTGGCTTTTTTTTCACATAAAGTACAAGTGACTACTGATAACATTACATTTATTCTTACTAGTGCAAGTAGCCTAAATTACAAAATGGAGGTACTAGAGGCAAAAGCATACAAAAAGTAATATAATATAATAGGAATAATGGAAACATGGTGGAATGAGACACATGACTGGGCAGTTAAATAGCGACAGATTATTGAGAAAAAACAGGAAAGGTTGAGTAGTATGTTTATATGCCAACCATGTGTTCAAGCAATATATTATAAGTAAGTGGAATGTAACAAGGAAAATGTGGAAGCTTTATGTGTAGATGGGTAGATATCTGCTTATCAAAAGGGAAATCAATTATTGGTTGGAGTATGTTAGAAACTGTCTAATGATGATGTTAATAAGGAAGAACAGCTATTTGAGCAAATTAGGAAAGCTTTACATGGGTTCATTATTGGAACCTGTTAAATAACAATTGGTAGAAGAACCAACTAGAAAGGATGCTTGTCTTAATCTGGTTTTAGCAAACAATGTTGATCTTTTGACAAACATTTAAAGTATGGAAGCCATAGGAAATAGTGATCACAATATGGTGTTTATCATAAAAACTCAAAAAAATCTAATGTATATGGGATATACTAAAACATTTAATTTTAAAAAGCCCAATAAGATTAGGGCATTTTTACAACTCATTGACTGGCAAAAACCCATTAGTGAAAAAACCACTGAGGATAAATGGAACATCTTCAAACAAATATTAGAAAAGTGCACGTCCTGGTACCTACCGTAATACCACAATAAATATAAAAGAAATTGAAACCAATGTGGCTTAGTCAAAAGGTAAACCAAGAAATTGTAAATAAGAAAAGGGCATGTAAAACACTTAAATTATATAAATAAGAGGCATCCTGTATAAGAGAACATGAAGCCAATTATGCAGGCAAAATGGCAATTAGATGGGTTAAACTAGAAAAAGAGAAAGGGATAGAAGGGGAGAACAAAATCAACCCTCTGATTGTGTTTCTACACATACTTTCTAAAAAAAAAAAAAAAATTATACAAAATAAAAGTGTATGTACACAAAAAAATAGAGATTTTTTTCTCTCAGTAAATATTAAGGAGGAACCTATGGCACAACATACAAATGATTGTTACAAACAAACATGTAGAAAATGTATGATTGGATGATTTAAGACAAGGTGCTACAGTAACTAAAGAAAGTTAATATAAACAAAGTCCCAGAGCCTGATGGTATTCACCCGTGAGTAATTAAGACGCTAAGTCTGGAAATAAGTGAACATCTGTTTAGAATTTTTTCAGGCTTTTTTCTTGCAGGTATTATACAGGAGGATTGGAGGAAGGCAAATGTGATTCCTATATGCAAAAGGGGTTTAAAATCTTTGCCTTGAAATTACAGATCTGTGAGCTTAAATTCTGTGGCTGGGAAAGTATTTGAAGGGTTATTAAGGAATCATGGAGTTAATATAAGCAGAGAGAATGTGCCAGGATGCTAATAGAACTGGGGGGTAACCCCTGGTAATAGATATGAAAAACAAGAGCAAGGGGAGGATATGAGGTAAAGACAGTTTCAAACCTCACGAGCCTGACCTATGGAGATGGAGAAGTAACCCATCAAAAAATTCTTCAAAAATAACCTTTAATAAGTATAATAAAAATCCAACATGTAGGTTTGAAAATTCATTACAAATAAGTCCTAAATTCTAAATAAATCATGCTAACAAAACAATAATAAAGTAACCAAGAAGTGGATATTGCTGAAAAAATGGAGTGTTGGTGGTAGTGGGGGGAGGTAGGGGAAAGAAAATGAGGACTGACTGCAAATTTGCAAATAAAGAGTAAACGTTAGGAAGTTGGCAGTATACATAGGGAGAGAACCGAAAATTATCAAAAATCTATGCCCTAACGTGCCTTTGAGGGCACCCCTTAAAAAATGTCTAAACCTCCCGGAGTCCCAGACACGAATACCATGAAGTGAAACAAACCCCTCTCCCGCTTGCCCACAGCAACAACAAAAAAATATAACATTATAAATAAAGATCTTATCCTAAAATTTAGCTAAATCTGTACCCTTTATCTCTGAATTTTCAGCCAGTTCTCATTTTCTTTCCTTTCCTTCTCCCCCTCCCCCCCCCCACCATTTCTT